AGGAACAACTGCGCCTGAAAGATACCAGGGGTCCAAGCCAGAATAGGGTGGGGTTTTGCGCTTCGCAAAGCAGCATCTATAGGACAGGCACACACAAGCCTATTAAGAAAAAGCTATCACTTAAGGTAAAGATACAAGGGGTTCCATTAACTATGGAACTGGACACGGGGTCTGCACTTTCAATCATTTCTATGCATACATTTAGGAAGATCTGTTCCGGCAGCGGAATCCAGGCCAAGTTGAGGCCTTCTGACATTGTGCTAACAGACTTTCAAAACTCCAGAGTGTGTGTTAAGGGGGAGGCCACCCTTAACGTGCAATATAAGGATTTTGAGGGTCCACTAGACCTATTAGTAGTAGAAGGTGAACGAACGAGTCTCATAGGACTCGAGTGGTTTGAGGCTTTGGGGATACACGTCACAGGGCTCAACAGTCTACAAACACTCGACCTACAGGAAGTCTGCAAAGAATTTGCAGATGTTTTCAGCCCCCAGCTGGGCACATTCAAAGGACCCCCTGTGTCACTAAAGCTAGACCCCACTGTCACTCCCATTAGAATTAAAGCAAGAAGGGTCCCTTGTGCTTTAAAGAGTAAAATTGACACTGAGCTGGATAAACTGATCCAACAAGGAATTCTAGAACCTGTTGACTCCAGTCCCTGGGAGACCCCCATTGTCACGCCCCTCAAGGCAAATGGGGACATTCGCATCTGTGCTGATTACAAATGCACTCTGAATAAGGCATTGCAGCAACATGCCTATCCTGTTCCTGTGGTCAGTCATATTCTGGCCTCCCTCAGGGGGGGGCGTGTTTTTGCAAAGCTTGACCTAGCTCAAGCATATCAACAGCTGCCTGTTGATGATGATTCTGCTATAGCTCAGACCATTGTGACCCACAGAGGAGCCTTCAAGGTAAAGAGGCTACAATTTGGAGTAAATGTCGCTCCTGGAATTTTCCAAAGCGTAATGGAAAACACACTACGGGGTATACCAGGGGTTTGCCCCTACTTTGATGATGTCTTAATTGCAGGAGACTCCACAGACAATTTAGCTGAAAGGCTGAGGGCTGTCCTGTCAAGGTTCAGGAAAACAGGCCTCAAACTTAAAAAGGACAAATGCAAAATTGGGTGCCTTCTACTGATTTCCTGGGGTTCAAAATTGATGCTGCTGGGATTCACTCTGCTGAATCCAAACTAAAAGCTATTATGCATGCCCCTAGGCCAAAGTCTAAGGCCGAACTACAGGCCTTTCTGGGCCTTCTGAATTTCTACAATTCCTTTCTTCCACATAAGGCTAGTGTAGCTGAGCCTCTTCACAGGCTATTAGATAAACAGGCAGTGTGGCAGTGGTCACAAACACATGAGGCAAGTTTCAATGAGGTCAAGGCCTTACTCACTTCTAACAGTGTACTTGCACATTTCAATGAATCCCTTCCTGTGTGCATCGCTTGTGATGCTTTCCCTTATGGGGTAGGAGCTGTACTGAGCCACCTTAGGTCTGATGGAACTCAGGTTCCTGTTGCATATTACTCCAGAACATTATCTTCTGCTGAGCGTAATTATGCTCAAATAGACAGGGAGGCCCTAGCTGTTGTTGCTGGGATTAAAAAATTCCATGATTTTTTATATGGTAGTCATTTCACGGTCTTCACTGACCATAAGCCTTTGCTGGGACTGTTTACCACACGTAAGCAAACCCCCCAAATCATCTCCCCCAGGATGCTCAGGTGGTCTATCTTTTTGTCTGCATATGATTTTTCCCTACTTCACAAGCCTGGGAAGGAAATGGGCCATGCTGATGGCCTCAGTAGATTACCCCTGCCGGTAATAGAAGCTGACCCTGCGCCAGCTATCAATCTTCTTTCTATCCAAGCATTGCCCAACTCCCCTCTGAATGCCAGGGATGTAGCTGCTGAATCGGGCACAGATCACACACTTTCACGTGTCCTTTCTTGGGTTTTGTCTGGATGGCCTGAGCACTGCCCTAATCCTGAGTTTCAGAGTTTCTAGTCTAAAAGGAACGAGTTGTCCACCTCTCAGGGTTGTCTGCTTTGGGGAAGCAGAGTTGTCATTCCCACCTCAATGAGGACTAGGGTCTTAGGTTCCCTCCACGAGGGTCATCCTGGCATTGTACGAATGAAGGCTCTTGCGCGCAGCCACTTGTGGTGGCCTGGCCTAGACAAAGACATTGAAGCTAAGGTGCATGCATGCCACCTTTGTCAACGCTCGTGCCCTGAAATGCCCCAAGCTCCTGTACATAGATGGGAGGAAACACAATCTCCATGGTCTAGGGTGCACATTGACTACACTGGGCCCTTTCAGGGTCAATTCTTCTTGGTCCTCGTTGACAGCCATTCAAAATGGCTTGAGGTTGTACCTGTCTCATCCACCACCACTGCAAAGACCATTCAGGTACTGAGGGGGATTTTTGCTGCACACGGGCTCCCAGACGTCATTGTGTCTGACAACGGCCCACAATTCACTTCCTCCGAATTTCAAGCTTTCTTGCAGGCTAACCTGATTCGTCATGCCACCTCTGCACCCTTCCACCCGTCCACCAACAGTATGGCTGAACACATGGTTCGCATCACCAAGGACGCCTTGAAGAAAATTATTTATGGAGACTGGCATCACAGGTTGGCTGACTTCCTCCTTTCTTATCGCACCACACCGTCCACTTCTACAGGGAGAAGCCCAGCTGAACTTCGTTGGGGGCGCAAACTGACTACCAAGCTTGACCGGTTGCATCCGGACAGACTGCCTCCTTCTGTTTCACACCCCAGGGCACCTAGGCAACTACTTGTGGGTGTCCCGGTTTGGACTCGTAATTACGGGCCTGGTCATACATGGGTCCCCGCTTCTATATCCAGGGTCACAGGTCCTCTGTCTTACGAGGTGTCCCTGGACAACGGTCGTGTCCTGCGTCGGCACATTGACCAACTTCGCCCTAGATGGGACCTTCCCGCTGAGACTCCTGGGTCTTTTCCAGGGGGGGAGGGGGAACCCTTTGGGCAAAGGGAGGGGCATGGAATGATGCCCATTATCAATGGGGAAGCTACAAACAGCCCATCTCAAGATTCCGCGAGTGCTCCAAACAGGAATTCAAGGAACCTAACTAGATACCAGGCATCAACGCCTACTCCAGCCAGGGAGTCACCCCGGGGGCATAATCACTACTCACCCGCATCACTCAGTACTCCAGTCAGGGAGAATACCCGGGAGCATCCCAACAATACATACCCTGCAAGAGAGCTGGCACACACTCCTTCTAGTTGGCCCAACACTACCCCTGTCCCCAGAAGGGGGCAAACACACAGGGAGGTGGTCGAGGACCCAAATCCCGACTACAACACCTCTGACTTCACTCAGGGGACAACTGAGTTTTGGGACAGTACTGAAAACCACACAAGCCCGGACACAGAACGGGATTCAGGGGACAGACAGCCTCCTGACAGGTCTTGGACGGACCTAGGAGGTTCTACAGAAATGCCCAACAGTGACAGTCACTTAGAAGGGCCAGAGAGCCTACAGCTAGGCAGGACAACCAGGTCACACAGAGAAAAAAGTCCTGGCCTGACGAGCCCGGTGGGCAAGCAAGCAGGCCAGGCAGTGCAGCACAGCTCTTGGGAACCCCCAAGGCAAAATAGGGGGGGACAGGCACGCATCACCCCTCAGTCAAAGGGTACTTGGCAAGCACCCAGAGCTTAGGAGGTCACAGAGAGCAAGGAAATCTCCTAAGTATTTGGAGGATTTTGTAACCCTCTTGGCAAAACAGAGCTAGTAAAAAAGTAAAGCACTGAGGCTGATGGAAACGGGGAATACTTGGTAGTGGGGAGCATGGCACTGCACTAAAGAAATGAGTTATGTGTTATTATGGTATGAGGAATAGTTTTAGCCCGGGGGGAAGGGGTGTTATGTCCTGAGCCTGTGCAAGCAGGCTCGGGGCATTGCAAACGGTCCCGGGCAGGTGCAAGTTGCCCGGGACCAGACCGGCTGTCGCCAGTACTTGTGCGCATGCGCAAGTGCTGGCGCGCCAAAAGGTGCAGATTGACCCGGGGATGGCCTATATAAGAGGCCAGGAGTTTTGGGCGTTGTCGGCGTCTTCTAACTGTAAGCTGAACTAAAGAATAAAGAAGTTTCCTGAGAACTACAACTGCTTCTCGTGTCTTGCCATTTCGCGAAGGACGCAACAGGAGAATCAGATGAATTCAGACAAAACAAGATTATTATTGATTCTAGGGCTGGATGACAAATTTGGGAAATATTCTTGTTCTTGATCATGCATTTTCTTAACAAACAAGTTCCATCTTATCCTTTCTGGACAACCTGTAACATCTTTGTTATGGGGGATATATCATCATCTTCAATTGATTCATCAGTTCATTCCTATCTAGAATATAACAAATTGTCTTTGATGACTCATCTATTGCTAATTTCTAGGTTGGGCTTCTAGCTTGGGTAGGTAGTTCTTCCATAAGTTACACATGGACTGTATTTGAACAGCAGAGGTGGGAAGATGCTTGATCCAGCTCAATCAACAAAAATGGGCTGAACTACTGCACACAAAATGTATTACTAACCTGCAGTTTTTCTGTAGGTAAAGTAGTGTAGGGCTTTTTTATATAAAGCTGTAATTCTTTGGTAAATTGAGATTTTTCTGGAAACAAGGCAAAAATAAAAGGTTCTTCCTTCTATTATTTTCTCTTTTGAAAAGCTAATCTATATTCTGAGGGATGACAAACATTCTTTTGCATTTGGTGACATGCTATTCTGTTACATTTGTTTTTATAAACTTCCAATTCCCTAAGAAGACTAGTCATTTAGTTAGAAATCATTGTCTTCAATCAGTGATTATTTTTTTAAAAAAATCAACACCCAGCTATGAACCCAGGCAGGATATCTTTGAAGATGAAGGGCAGAATTTGTTCTCAATACATGTTTTATTCCTTTTGATACAATATAAACTGAAAGAGGAATTTGCACATTTACACAAAATAAATAGTGATGTTCTTATATCCTTCCTTCAGCTTCTGGATCAACACCCCCATTTATGTAAAGGTATTTTGTTGATCACAAAACAAAATGAAGTGATCAGTTTGCTGAGTTAGCATTGGGAGATCAGGGTCAAAGCTTACTCAGGATCCTTCTCCTTCAAACTTCCCTCCCAATACTATTGTGAAGATAAAACAATCCTGGGAGACAACTACATGCACCACCTTGGAAGAAAGATGGAAAGCAGCTATCCAAAATAAAACCATCAGTGAGGGTTTATTGTCTTCATTAGCAATCTTTTGAGGGCCTCCTTTACATCAGCATTTCTCAAACTGTAAATTAGAGGATTCAACATGGGGATGATCAGAGTGTAAAACACTGAGATTTTTTTATCAGTGTGCATGAAGAAGCTGGATTTGGGTCGGAAGTACATAAAGAGGATGGTGCCATGGAACAAAGCAAAGGTTGTCAGGTGGGAAGCACAGGTCGAGAAGGTTTTCAGCCTGCCTCCTGAGGAGTGCATCTTGACAACTGCTATGATGATGAAGCCATAGGAGACAGCAATAGTCACAGTGTTCAAGCCTTCAACCAAGATGCCAAAAGTGAAGAGCAGCAGCTCATTGAGGGAAGTATCTGAACAGGCAAGGGCCATCAGAGCAGCCAGGTCACAAAAGAAATGGTTATTTGAGTTCCTTCCACAATAAGAGAGCCTTAAAGATGCACAGCTATGAATGAGAGAACTCAACACACCCCCAACATATGCTCCCCAAAGCAGCCAGAGACAGAAGGATCTAGACATGATAACTGTGTAAGACAAGGGTTTGCAAACAGCTACATAGCGGTCAATTGCCATGGCAGCCAGAAGGAAGGCTTCCACATCTGTAAAAGTGCAAAAAAGGAAAAATTGGACAATGCAGCCACCATAGGTGATGGTCTTTCTCTTTGCAAGGAGGTTCAGCAGCATCTTAGGAGCAACAGTTGAGGCTATACAGGCATCCATTAATGAAAAATGTTGCAAGAAGAAATACATAGGAGTCTCAAGGTGAGGACTACTTCTGATCAACACAACCATTCCCAGATTACCTAACAAGATCCAAAGGTGGATTATAAGAAATATCAGGAAAAGACCATTCTGTAGCTTTGGGTATTCTGTAAATCCTTGCAGAATGAATTCTGTCACAGCAGTGCTATTTATCTCCATCATTTCTTTAAAAAAAACATGGGGGGGGGGGTTGGGAAGGTACTGATTTGCTTAGCATGTTATCATTTTGTGACTCCCCTACAATAAAGAACTGGATATGTCTGAGGTCTTCCTGGGGATGATTTTAGTTGTCCCAAGATGTGAAATCTTGAACTTTCTGGAAGGCAAAGGAATTAATGGTTAATTGTTTCTGAAGGGAAGGACAGCTTCCTGGCTATAAGGAATGGATTCTGTAATTAATTCATAGTGAGAAGAGTTTGCATTTCATCATGCAAAGGACATTCAATCCAACTGAGTTATTCTAGATACTAATTTTATTTACATGCAAACATCAGCTGACTGCAGTAAAGGAAGGAAACAAATGACTAACCTTGTTATATATACCACATCTAAATAGGTTTGCAAGGAATGACACTATGTCCTTGATTACATATGATCTGTAATGCACATGGTAATTGCTAAGAATTTATCTCTGTGTGTAGAATGTGTAGGGCGTTGTAACATAAACACAGTAAGCTATTTGCAACTATAGAGAAAAATATGAAAAGATAAAAATTAAAGAAAGCTCATTCTCCCTACCCTCTCATAGAATCACATAACTATAAAATTAGAAAGGACTACAAGGACTGTCTAGTCCAGGGGTAGGCAACCTTGGCTCTTTTATGACTCATGGACTTCAACTCCCAGAATTCCTGAGCCAGCCATGCCTACCCCCGATCTAGTCCAATCCTCTACAATATGGAGGAAATCTTGTTAAGCCATCTGTGACAGGTGGCTGATCAGCTTCTTCTTAAAAGCTTCCAGAGACGGAAAACTCACAACTTCCACTGTTCTTACTGTCAGGAAGATTTTTCCTTATATTTAAGCAAAATCTCTGCAGTCCTTGCTTTAATACTCTATTATTTTACCTGCTTTGAGCAACACTGGGGACTGTGCAGATCTGAACATAACTTCTGATTTTACTCACAATTTGAAGCAACCTAAGTAATTGCAAACTCCTGGGAAATAATGAGCAGGTACGAATCTTCCTACCATGAGCCAAAAGATCTGAAAGAGGTTTCTGCTCAGGTTTTCTTGGACTTGAAAGACAAGTTCACAATCCCAACAGGATGATGTAGATACTGTTTACTTTTAAATTTACTCATATCTTTTAAATCAGGGTTTCCCAGACCTAGTAAATTACCCAAAGTTGGGTAAAAATAGTTTTCCCTGAGTAACAACACACAAATTCATTACCCAGCCACAATAGGGACATTTAAATTGACTTACATTGGGTAATAAGGACTTTCTGATAAGCAATCTTAGGTAATGAAGGAAAAAAATTGGAAGCACTGTTTTAAATGTTTTTCTTTAAAATATCCTCTGTCCTTCAAGAGCAAAAACTTGTATAGCAAAACACTCCAATTTTTCCCCACAAAAGCCATTTCTTGAAGTAGGCTAGTCTAAGAAATGCTAATTGAAAGACACCTGTGTTTTTCTGTGTTTCTATCATACTAGCTGAAATACAAGTTAGTATATCGATTTAAATTTTTTCATTGATATTCACTTTGAGCATCGCTTCCTTTGAGAAAAAAGAAATAAATCTTTCTGCTCGCCCACTGAGTCCCTTGGAGGAAAAATGAGATAGACAATAAATAGAAACAAAACAAAAATAATAGACTACAAAGTTTTCCTTTTCATGTTCTTTTTGTCTAGACCTATAAAAAGGGGCCTAAACAAACATGTTTGAATCTGGGTTTCCAGCCATAAATCTTGAAAAATAAATAATGTAAATTCACTTGTTAACTCCTTCACAGAATGTTTTAGAAAGTAATGCTAACTCTAAGTTAGATTAAAGAAAATTATTTCTATACTCTTTATTTGCTATTTTTAGACATTTTGAGCATTCAGCTGGGCTTCCTAGCCCAATGCAAAAATAACTTAGAGCCCTTTATTGTTCTAATTGACAAATGATTTCCAACCCTAACTCAAAATTACAAGATTTACCTCTTGTAAAAATGCATTGCCTTAGCTGACTCTCGATGCTTTCCCACTACTGCAGCAATAAAAGGTGGTATCTAGCTCAAGTCCCTGGATCCTGAGGTTATAAAGTCTGCTTTGCTCAGAAAGGGAAGAAGTACGCAGTGAATTTTTTTTTTCCCTTAAGTAGAAAATCATTTGAATCACAGGCAATTCCTCCATGGATTTTTCTTCACTATCCCCATAGGAATATATGTTTGTTCTTCCTTGAACAATAACATTTTACATTAAACTTGTGATAATTTAATGGTCTACACCAGTGGTTCTCAACCTTTTAAATGCCGCGACCCCCAACCGGTCATAAGTCGAAGACTACTCAACCGGTCATAAGTCGAGGACTACTCAACTGGTGCAGCACCGTTTGCAGAATGGGACTTTTGGCGGGCTCAGCAGGGCAGAGACAGCATGGACAATTCCTATTGGCTTTTGAAAGCCAATAGAATTAGACTCTATTCAAGAGAGTCTATTCTATTGGCTTTCAAAAGCCAATAGAATAAAAGGGAGTAGCACAGCTAAGGAAAAGGGAAAAAATGGCAGACTGCGTTGTTTGGCGACCCCCGTGAAATGGGGTCCCAACCCACAGGTTGAGAACCACTGGTCTACACAATAAATGTGACATGGAATATTATTTCACAGGGGATGTTTCAAATAAATGATTCATCTTACATAAAATATAAAAAAGGCAATTTATAAAGTCCTGTCACCTTAGCCACATATTTAAAAATCCAAATATTTTTAATCTTTGAAGAAAACAAAAATGAGCCACCAATTTTTTTTGTCTCTAAGTCTAGGCAGCAGAATTGATCTAATGCATTCCTTTACTTTGTTCTATCTACATAAATGGTTGCTTCTGTTTAAAGGAACACACCAATCATTTTTCAGAATAATACTGTAATTAATGAATTAATATAATAGTCATTCCTTTCAGTACCTCTTCCAGGCATTTATTTCCATAGATTGACACTCTTCCTCCCTTGAAAAGTGCCCAAAGGAACAACCAGTATGTCACAGATTCTACTCTTTTCCTTCCCCCCCACCCAACACCTCCAGATGTCTCCTGTGCATCTTGTACCTCCATGGTTTTTTACACCTTTCCTAACACTTCTGGGTTTTGTCCTTGGTGCAATTTCTGGCTTATCTGGGGGGTCCATAATTCAAACATCCCTCATTGGTCCAAAATGATCTAATCGCAATTGCCTTCTCTCTTCCTTCTCTCCATCTAATTCATGGGTGTCAAACTCGATCATGTCACATGACGTATTGTGATGTATCATAATGTTTTTTGCCTTTGCGGAGCTGGGGTGGGCGTGGCCTGTGCATGACACATCTGACCCGCAGGTCACCAGTTTGACACCCCTGATCGAACTGAACCTCCTTCTGCAAGAAGTTTTTTATCCCATCAGTTTTGGATTACCAGTTATGGACCAAACCTGGCATACAGTTTTTTAACTTCTTTATATCTCATGGCACTAATTATTTCTTTTAATTCCTTCCCAGTCAGGTGGCTGAAGGAGACTTCCTGGTATTCCTGAGGCAGTGTGGCAGATGGAGTGCACCAATGATCAGACATTGGCTAATAAGATAGTTATTGACACAGTAATTCCAACTGGAGGAAAATGATCTTTGTGATAGTCAGTGTGGCTGCATCTTCTATTCTGGCTATGCCAGCCTTGCTTGGTGATAGAGTCTGCGCAAGCCACCCAGCTTTCTAAGAATTATAGTGGCAACAACAGCCATGAAAAACCCATTCTCAGACTGACACTGATTATTTGACTTCCAAGCTTGAAGTGGAAATGAGGGTGGGAGAACTTCTGTGATCTGGGAGGGAGCTTATCTGTGTCCTGCAGCTGCTGTGTACTCTACCCCAGTGGTTCTTAACCTTTTTGAACGAATCGCCCCCTTGAGCCAATGAGGAAGTTGTCATCGCCCCCTCCCCCAACATAACCTCTCAATCACAACATAGGAAATAATTCTTCAATTTATGCAAACATGATGCAAATAATTTATTTCCAGTCTTTTTCCCATATCTCAACTGTGTGAAAAATTTTGGTGCCACCCGTCACTTTATTCCCAAACTTCGTGATACATGTATTTCATTATTATCTTATTTATTCAAGACACTTAAATGTAATGACCATTGAAAACAAAATTCAACTTCAAGAAAGTGAAATGCCCGAAAAGAAAAACAGTAACATTTAATGATTGAATTACAAGTGAAATTTAAGATGCAAAAAGAAATATAAAAAGGGCATAAGAACAAACCGCAATTCAGGAACTAAGAATTTCAAGACGAAAACTCTGAAACTAAATTAAGATTCAAGGAAAGTATATATAGTCACGCACACTGTAAAAAGGATTAAAAAGTCACAAAGAAAATATAATATCGAACTGGAGTGCATGCTTAAAAAGTACAATACAAAGAGACACACAAAACAGCATGCGATGTTTCGAAAGAAGCACTCCCCTCTCCATCACTGCCCATTCTGGCCAATGGTGAGCCACTGTATGGGCAGAGCAGGGGTAAGCAACCCAAAACACTCAAAGAGCCACTTGGACCTGTTTCCCATTGAAAACAAAACATTGGGAGACGCAAAACCCTTTTGACATCTAAAATGAAGATAACACTGCATATATCCTTTTTTACCTTTATTTTATATATATATATATTTTATATATATATGTTGTGTTATCTTCATTTTAGATATCAAAAGGGTCTCTCTCTCTCTCTCTCTCTCTCTCCCCCTCTCCCTCTCTCTCTCTCCCTCCCTCCCTCTTTCTGCCCTTGGTCTGCCAGTCCTCTTCCCCCACTCAGTGTGTGTGTGTGTGTGAGAGAGAGGGGGGGAGAGAGAGGCACTTGCGCTTCCTCTCTCTCTTTCTCTCTCTTTTTCTCTTTCCCCTCTCCCTCTCTCTTTCTCTTTCCTCTCCCTCCCTCCCCCTTCTTTCTCCAGGTGGGGAGAGAGAAGGGGGGAGAGAGGCACTTGCGCTTCCTCTTTCTTTCTCTCTCTCTCTTTTTCTCTTTCCTCTCCCTCCCTCTCCCTTTCTCTCTTTCCTCTCCCTCCCTCCCCCCTTCTTTCTTCAGGTGAGGAGAGGAGGAGAGAGAGGCACTTGCACTTCATCTCTCTCTTTCCTCTTTTTCTCTCTTTTTCTCTTTCGCCTCTCCCTCTCTCTTTCTCTCTTTCCTCTCCCTCCCTCCCCCTTTTTTCTGCACGTGAGGAGAAAGAAAGAGAGAGAGAGAGAGAGAGAGAGAGAGAGAGAGAGAGAGAGAGAGAGAATGAAAGGCAGAGGGCACTGAAGGGACAGGGAGGGGGGCAGGAGACAGCAGAAGACCCCGTTGCTGCTGGAGGCACCCAGCTTCACTGCCTGCCAGGCCTGCAGGGATGCCCCAGCTCACGGTCACGTTGGCAGGCCATCCCACGTGCCGCTGGTGTCCCTGAGCTCAAGTCAGGGCCACGGGGCATCTGCAGAATGCCCCGCCCGTCAGCTGCATCGCCAAGCCTCCCCTCGCGCCACCAGAGTCCCCGGGCTTAACTCGCAGGGCATCTGCAAAACACCCCCATCAGCTGCTGGAGGAGCTGGGGCTGCTCCGCAATGCATGACGCTCCCGGCCATCCGTGACCCACCAGCATCGCCCAGGGAGTGATGCCCCCACCGGCTACCACCTCAGCCAGGTCTGCCGCCCGGGAGGCAACAGGAGGAAGAAGGGGAGGAGGAGGAGGGCAAGGAAGCTGGTGCCGGACCCCAGAAGGAGGCACTCCTGCGGGTCTGGTTGGAAAATTCCTCTCCCTCCCTTTCTCTCCCCCCCATCTTCTACTCACCTCTCAAAGCAGCCAGGACTCTGGCGCACCTTCCTGGCCAGCTGGGCCAACAGTCCCATGGCTGGGGATCGCAGGGGCAGCTCTCCCTCAGGGCCATGGCTTGCAGGAATGCTGGCCCGCTAGGCTGAGGCTCTGGTGGGCTGCTCCCAGCAGGGATCCTGGGGATCCCCTGCATGGCCACGTGCACTTGGTACGGGGCCAGCCAGGGAAATGGACTTCCTAGCTGCGCTTGTCCCAGGAGGCGGGGCACCCGGGCTCAGGGCCAACCAGGAGCCCTGTGAGGGGGCAAATCTGCATCAGAGAGAGAGAGAGAGAGATTTTATAAAATGATATATCATTGGTATTTAACACCAGATAAGTTATCAAGAATGTATAAAAAGTACTTCAAATGATTGTTGGATATGAAAATATAAAGAAGGGACTTTTTATCATTTGTGGTGGACATATGATAATGTAAATAAATATTGGAGTAGGATTCATATTCTAATACAGAAGATTCTTAAAGTGAATATTAAGATAATTTTTCTTTTGGGTTTAATGGAAAAAGACTTGTGGAAAAAATTGGAGCTTTGATGTTATGTATGTTGATGGCAGCAGGATTATTTTATGCACAAAAATGGAAGGAAACTTCAATCCCCACAATGGACGAATGGCTGCAAAAGTTAATGCAGTTAGAGAGATGGCTAAATTGGCTGCTTTATTAAAAGAAAAAACATGTATTTTTGTTTCTACTTGGAAACCGCTTCTGGATTTGTGCTTGAGGTAGAAAAAAATGAAACTTTGATTTTGGATTTTACCGATTAGA